TATATATTTTTTTTTTTTCAAAAATTATTATTATTTGCCCCTTTAAGCTATTTTTTTCGCTCGTCTAAAAAACAAATCATTGTTATACAATAACTTGCTAAATTACTCTTACCTGCTTAATGAACCTAGTTAAGCCTTTAAATGTCACTTTAAGCTGTATAGAAGTGTCTTGAAAAATATCTAGTCAAATATTATTTACTGTCATCATGGCAAGGATAAAATCAGTTATTAGAGATGAAACTATTATGTTTAGAAATGTGCTGAAAAGATATCTCTGTTAAACAGAAATTGGGGAAAAAATAAACGGCAACTAATAATTCAGGGGGTTAAATATTTCTAATTGCAGCTGTACATAAAAAAAATGTTCTTAAGCCTTTTAAATCCTCAAATCGAAGTCAAAATTATGTATTTTCTCATAATTAGCTTTATTTATTATGAAGTATTTCCACTCTTGATTCAAATACAACATATACTACAAACTATTTCAATAAATTTACATACTTTAGACTTGTACAGGAATATAGTCATCACCTGACAACTAAGAGTTAAAATAATGTCGAAAAGTTTGGCCACCAGCTTACCATTTGTAAAACAAAATGCGCGAGACACTGAATTGATGATGTATAAAATGGAGGATGCTGCAAGCAAATGTCACCATAATCAATCCAATAGCATTTAGTGTGAAACAACGATTTCAGGCTTCTTAACAGGATTAACAATATGCACGCAAAAAGGTGACAAACATTTTCTCAGCACGGTGACGACCTTTAGGTTAAAGACAGTTCTGACTTCACTGACTGTCAAAACTGACAACTGCAGAGAAATAAAACATTGATGTGTGAAAAACATGCTCAAACCATGTTTACCACAAACATCTGTCACAAAGTGTTCAGGTCGATGCACGCTGTTTTTAATGATCATCTTTGGTGTAGACTATTATTTTATACTGTAGTTGCAATCATTATATTCAACCCCAGCAGTGGTATGCATAAATGTTGAAATTCAATTCAGTTGCGTGTCGTTTGAGCTAAATCAAATGTATCTGTATCAAACCACTTCACGACAACCATAAGTTAAACATGGCACTCAACATAATTTAGCTATTTGAAAATGCTTGACAAGCTAAGAAAGTGAACTGATAAGAAAGACGTAAAGTGTAGTTACACTTTGTCAGGGTTTTACAAACTGTTAAAGCAAACCCTGACAAGCAGTCTCAAAAGCCAAGCAACAAGTTGCAAAAGGTGCAGATTTGATAAGTGTGAAAGAAGTGTGAAAACCAGAGCAGAAACTCAACGGTTTATTGGAAAGATTACTCTCAGTGCTGAACAATGACATTATGCGTTCTAGGCTTGGCAATTAACAATAAACATGTAAAACTGCAAATGTTTAAATGACATATACACCAATCAATGATAATTAATACTCATGATCAATGTTACAATTTCCCTACTGAAAAAACCTAGCCTAGGCTGGTTGGCTGGTTATAACTGGTCAACCAGGCTGGTTTTAGAGGGGTTTTGGCCATTTCAAGGCAGATTTCCAGCTATTTCCAGCATGTTCTTAGCTGGTCAAGCAAAAAAAATAAATAAATGACCAACCTAATTCAGCTTGACCAGCCTGGTTTAAGCTGAGCATATCTGGTTTTAACTCCCAGCCTAGTTAGGCTGGTCAAGCTGGAAACCAGCATGGAATGGTCAAAACCCCTAAAACCAGCCTGGTTGACTAGACAAAGCCAGCCTAGGCTGGTTTAAGCTGTTTTCTCATCAGGGATATCTAATAAACAGTGATTGTTTTCGCGCCCTCTTGAGGCTGAATACGGAAGTTTAAACGCCCCCTCACTGATTTTACTGACGAGCCAAAACATTAGCCACCACAGGTGAAACTAATATCACTGATCATCTTTTAACAAATCACAAAGTAAGTTCTCAGTAGATCGGACAGTAAAACAAACAAACAAACAAACAAACAAACGCCATTCAACATGTCGGACGCGGGAATTAGTAAGGAAAACGATCTGAGCAACTTTGAAATGGGGATGATGGGAAGAAGACTGAATGAGAACATCTCTCAAACGGTAAGATTATCTTTGTTACTTTTATTTGCCAAATAAACAACAGTGTACAATGAAAAAAAAGGACAAAGCAAATAATGATGCACAATGACAAAACCATTCCTTCAGAACAAGCCAACCAAAGAACTATGTCTATTGTTAACATTCTGCGATGAAAATAGTTTAGAATATTTAGAAGTATAAGATAACAACATTAAAAATGCAAACATAATTTCATATTTAGCTTCTGACTGATCAGTTTAGCTCCCTCTTGTGGTTGAATTTGGAACCACACACGTTAAAGGTATATTTAAATGACTTCCTAAAAAGGACACTTGGAGAACTTAGACTTTCATAAATGATATCCATAACATTCATAAACTTATCCACACTGAGTAAACCACAAACACACACAAATTACAGAACAGATTTTTTACTTTTGTAATTTCTCTCTGAAAAGTAACTTCATTAGGCTAAAATAGCAATTAAAAACAGCAATCTCAATGCATTGACAGTAAAAATTTAAGTTTTAGCTTTATTCAGAATTAATACTGGAAGGTAAACAGTACCAAAACAAAGGAGTGATACCATATTTCTTGCATATGTTTACATTCAAGTGCAACTGTTTGTCAAATGTAAAATTCATAAGTTGAAAAAGTATGCTATCTATGTATGTATCTATGTATCTATCTATCTATCTATCTATCTATCTATCTATCTATCTATCTATCTATCTATCTATCTATCTATCTATCTATCTATCTATCTATCTATCTATCTATCTATCTATCTATCCAGACATACTATTTATGCAATTCAAAACTTTGAACTCAGATTTGGACCTATTTGATCCAAAATAACAGGATTATCCGGATCCCATCAGAAGGGTGGATTCAGTTTTTTTAGATAGATTTAGTAGATGAAAAATGTATTTAAGTGAATGATCACAAATTGAATGGTTACTGATGATATATAAATTCCTTCATATTTGAAGCCTATTTGAAGCATGTCATTTTTAATGAGATCTGGTAAACAACAACAAAACAATATCTAAGCAGTATTGTATTAGAACAAACTAAAACATGTAAAATGTTTGTTGGTTGCTGTGTTTCTGTTTCTTACCATTAAAACAATCAATGGCTGTTTGTGGCCGCTGGTATTTTGCCTACCTGTTGTTCTTTGCTAAGCTGTTGGTTGCATTTAAGGCTCTGGTAAACGGGATTTGGTAATCCTGAAATTTGGTATTAGGATCACAGTACAATCCAATGTTTTTAAATATTTATTCTTTAAAAACTGTCATAAAAGTCAGATTGTTCAGTTAATCATGGATGGCAAAACCTGGCATTTCCAAATGTGGACCAATTTGATCCAGATTAAAGATTTTCACATCCTGCTCTATTTTGAGTCAACAAAAATATCGCCATTAGCTATGTTTCTATCCAAAAAATTGAAAAACTTTTATGAACAAAACTGGATTATCGCATAAAAGACGTGCGAACAAAAGCAGCGTTACCATCCGAAGAGTCAAAGACAACAAAATCATCACTTCCTAATAATCTGGCGCCAAATATCAAAAGTAAAAACAGAATTTGCTGCAGTAGGAGAAGCTGCATGAATCTTTTCTTCATTTAATAAATGATTTGGGCCTTAGATTGCAATCCTGACAAGCCGTAAACGCGAGGTTATGTTTGAAGGCGTGAGAGGGGGTCTTAGCTGACCAACCTAACAGACACTCTTAATTCTGGAAGTCATTAACAATATAATTACACTAATACTGAGATGGTTAAGGCGTTTTAGAATGACCATGTTGGTAATATGCATGTTCATATCACTGCATAAATTATTTATTACACACATGGTTATTATAAGGCATTCTACGGCCAAAACTCAACCATAATGCAGAGTTCAGACTGCACAATTTGTTTAAGCAGTCACATCACAGATGTTTTCACACTGCATGACTATCTGGGGTAGCGTTCTCTCACTGATGTGTTTACACTACTAGAGGCATCTGCAACAGGAGGTTTCACATTGCATGACTTTACAAAAGGAGAATCGCAGATAACTTTGTCTCTGTCTTCCAAACACATTGGACAACCAAACACGCAAGAAGTCATATGACCAACACAAGGTCATGTAGTATATCTTTTGTAGTTAACTACATAATGAGAAAGAAGCCTTTAGTGGGGTGGAAAATGTGCCTATTTTGCTCACTTTGGTTTAGAAGGGAATTAGCAATGTCTCTTAAACTTTTTTCGACCTGGTTGTGGAATTGCTCAAATGCCATGTCAAACAGACACGGGTGCTCCTGCCAAATTTTCACTAGTTTTACCTCCACTTCTTGGCTTCAAATAGACCAAAATAAGTGCTTTTAACTTCTCCACCAACCTCCAACTGGCCTACAGATAACTCAAACTAGTGGATGCTGCTGTCTCATTGGCTGTAGGTAATCTGCGATGTTATTTTCAATCAGAACAATTTCACACGACAGGATTTTGTTTCGCCAACTATCCTACGGGTGTCAGCGACTCATCAGCAATGCTTTCAGATCGCATCTTTGATAGTTAACACTGTGTGATTGTTACTCACATGGACGAGCACCGATATGCACTGATTTTAGGCATTTGTCTGCAATTTTTCTCAAAACCTGTTGCCCAATCAAATATCATGGCTAAAACCAAGCAGTCTGAACTCGGCATAAGAGAATAAGGACAACCGTTTCAGACAATGCGCTGGGTACACCACCCATTTTTCCCATCCTTAAAATAGCAAAAGTGGATTCAGACATACTTTCAGTGCATTTGCGCTGTGCGCTTGAGAGCATGTGATTGGATTGTTTAAATAGAGCCCATTGTTTTTTTATGTTGAGAGATTTCAAATAAAATGATTAATAATCAACAGCAGAATTTGTGATTACAGTTAAGCTAACAATTGTAATAACTTAGTAGTCACAAAATATCCAAAATTTAATAAACTGCTTAACACCACACGTTATTTCATTGGGCAGTTTCTATAGGCCCATAAAAGATGCTAAACCTTTACACTGGTGGCTGTCTTATCTCTTTAAACTGAGCTTGTCCCCTGCTGTTCCTTCATTCTTTGAGAAACTGCTCCGTTCGGCAACGGCGTCGTTTTAACTGCTGATTCGTTCGGTCCATTTCTGGTGGCATCTGAAAATCACACAAAGACAAAAGGTTTCAGGCATCATTACAATGTCAATTGTGAATTCACCTTCAGAAATCCAAATTACCAAAGTTTTCTAATGTGCAGACATGAGACTAATGCTGCGGTCACATGCGAAATTCTGTTGTACGGCGCTGCGGGAAGGGACAGGATTAAACAATATGATTAGTTATAAAAAAAAGTGAGCGACTGGTCCATATTTAAAATTTCTATCCAGAGAGGTCATGTTTTGATCTTTAATTGGTCTTACGCAGACATGTGATGTGATTTTGCAGGTCACTTGAACTTGCGTTTCCCGTCTGCCGTATTCGCATGCGTATGAATGGAAGTCTATGAGGCAAAAAGTGCAGTGAGACAGCGGCTTTAATCACAAAGCTTCCAGAACATGCAAACTCTCATGCAGAGGTGGACAGCAGGGTGACACAATTAAACCAAGGCAGGCCCGGCCCTAACCAATTTGGCGCCCTAGGTGAGATCCGTCGCATCGCAGTAAATTCCACTGCTAGTGTAAAGTCATAAGAAACTAAACAGCTTTTTGATCGACTACTACAAGCTAGGAAAATGTCAGATAAATATGCCAATGCAATTAACATTATTGCTGAATAGATCTAATATTTACACATTTGCTTGAGCAAGGAATGATGGGGTAGTTACATTAATATTACTATTTTTCAAAACATCTATGCCCTTCCATAACATTAGCTGACGTAAAACTAACAGATAGCACTATAGCTATTTAATGATTAGCAATGTTATGTCATATCTATCAACGTTGGGATGTTAAAATATGGGACAACAAATAGCTTCAAATGATCGCATACATAGCAAACAATAGAATATATTGACAATAAAATAAAAGGTTTAACCTATTAAAATCAATGGCCTATACAGAAATTAAATAAAGCTATAAAATCTATTTAACTTTTAATTGTATTTGCATATTGATTAAAGTTACTATAGTTATTTAGTGAAGAGCAACAAATGAATCTCTCATTGTGTTTTGTTTGATAACAGAGGTGTTAATGTAAGAATGCACAGATCTATAATGAATGAAGCATTCGACTACTTTAGTAACTGTTGTGCTCATTTAAGAGAAAATTAGTTGTGTTTAAAATAAAACAAGTAGGATAGAGCAAAAAAAAAAAAAAAAAGAAGGACTTTTCCGACGGTACCTTACGGAGAGCTCCACTCCGCGCGAGCTCAGCTCTCCCGGCTAAACACATATCCCAGGCTAAACGGAGCAGTGCTCGTAATATCGAGCAAAAAAAAAGAGAAAAAGACAGCTGTGAAACATAACCAGCTTTGTCTTTTTGTAGGAAACACACTTTAGATCTTTTTAGGGTAAGAGGTTTTTGAGTTATTGCCATCTATCACTGAATGTGTGTCAGGAATATTGAAAACAAAACCAACTTAACCCTTCTCATTCCTGGCGCCCCCTGGATGTACAGCGCCCTTAGCATTTGCCTATACTGCCTGTGGCACGGGCCGGCCCTGAACCAAGGCAATTGTCATGCGCATTTTGTCAGTAAAACCAGTTCTCTAATCAATAGTAAATCGCTTACAAGCTCTGCAATATTGTGTTCATAATCCCAAACAATTAAATTAATCAATAATGAAATCAAAAACTTCCCCTCTGCGATAATCACAGCTGTTTGCGGCGCTTCTCAAATGAACTACAGCTCGTGTTTAGTAGTAGATGCTGTATCAGGGCTGTGCAATATGAGGAAGTTCTTACCCTTACAGTTTTGTGGTTCAGGGTCAGATATGTGATCTTGTTTGGGCCCCATGAAAAATGGCTGACAACGCAATCACCTTATATTGCTGCTGCTTTGACGTTAGCTTGGCATGTAGATGCAAATAAATCAGAATATATATTTTAGGCTGTGTCCGAATACACCTTCTACTTTTGGAATTACTATCTGACCATTAGTAAAGTATGTTCTTTATAGTATGAATGGAATTCTGAATTACTACATCTGCCATTTTGTCATGATAGCGTGACCTATCCACGTCAGTCGCGTCACTTCACTCCCATTCATGAATTCTGTCGCGGTGCATCAGAGGATAACAGCGCGCATTGGATGCGCACTTCAGAATCTCGCCAGAAGAAGTAGGTCATCCGGGTATTTCTAGCATATTGATTTTCAAACTTTATGAATTTGGACCTACTACTCTGCTCACATACTGTTTTTAGCATAGCAGACGTACGCAATTCCAGACGAAGCCTCAGTCTGAGTTACAGTTTATAGATTTCTTTTTTCTTTCTGGAAACTTTTATTTGTAATAAAACAATAAAATTAAAGGTATAGTATAAAATTAAAACCCATAAAGCCATTTGTTGATCTTTTGAAAACCAAAATCCTCTCAACATGAGGCTGACCAAATGGCAAAATTGTTCTTTTAAAAATAAATAAGTAGCACTTAAAACTAATAATGGATTTGGGTATCATTTTAAAGTTCATTTACCCACCAGAAACGGTAACATTGACATCCAAGCAAATGTTCTTCTCGCGTCCATTGTAGATCTTCAGCTGATAAACTCCAGAGTCGCTGCTTCTGGTGTTTTTCACGGTCAGAGATGCGCTTTGATGGTGCAGCTCCAGCCTGCCTCTGAATCTCTCATCATCCCTGTATGCAGTCTTACTGACGTCTCTGTTCATTCCAGATGCTAGCATCACACCTTCAAATGTCCAGTGCAGCTTCTCATCTCGCTCTACATTAAAATTAGTGATCAAAATTAAGCTTTCTCCCGCCATCACAGACACTGTGTTTGGATCAGTCTCACCTGGTGAACAAACAGAAAAGGTAAAAAATATATTAAAAAAAAAAATAGATGAGATAAAAAAAAATATCATCCTGTTTAACCTGATACAGTGTTAATCAGGCATTATCTAATAGCAGTCATCAGTCAGGATCTTGAATGCCACTTGATTATTTTAACAGCAAATATATTTAGCACAACAGATCAGTACTTTGACTGAAATACGGCAGAATGCAGCCAATATACTAGATCTTTTTGTCTTTCATTCATGCATGACTCCGACTTTTTAATAATTGCTTGCATTTATATAGCTCTTCACTGGACACTCAAGGAGCTTTACACATTTTTGGTGGGAATCTTCTCATCCACCACCAGTGTTCAGCATCTATTTGGATGACATGACAGCCATATTGTGCCAGAGCGCACACCACACACCAACTGATTGGTGGAGAGGAGACAGAGTGATGGTTAGGAGGCCATGATAGACAGAGGTGAATAGGTAAATTTGCCCAGGTTGCTGGGGTTTAACCCTAACTCTTTTTCAAAGGACACCCTGGGATTAACGATCACAGAGAGTCAGGACTCAGTTTAACGTTTTATCTGAAAGATGGTGCTCACCGAGCAGTACAGAGTCCCCGTCACTATACTGGGGTGTTAGGACCCACACAGACGACAGGTTAAGCACCCCCTGCTGGTCTCACTAACATCACTTCCGGCGGCAACCTAGTTTTCTCATCTGGTCTCCCATCCAGGTACTGACCAGGCGCAGCCCTGCTTGGCTTCAGTGAGTAGTACGGATATAGGCATAGTGTCTGAATGGTAACAAACTCAACTGATAAATTCATTCTCAAATTTTCTTACAGCTCTCCCGCCAAAAATACTAGCTGCAAACCAACAGCTTTGCAGTATCGGCCCTGACAGAATCACAGGGAAAAACATGCAACAATCCCTGTGGATCATGGAAACAAATATATACGACCGCGCCGTTCGCAGACGTGATCTCACCCAGTCATTTGTGTCACAAATTGGCAGGTCTGTCTTGCCTTCGTAAACAAGTGCTCGAATGAATAATTAAAAAGAAGGGTCTTCTCATTGGGTAAGAAAACTCCGCTATGAATAATAATGAGAAACCGACGAGTCATCACTCCACTAGTAGATTCGCGCAACATCACTAGCTGCATCCCAAATGGCACACTATACACTATGCACTCATGCACTATGTACTTATGCACTTACACACTCAACAGTATAGTATGTGCATGTAGTGTCCGTCCCAAATGGCACACTAATGGTTTTTTACTAAGCGGAAATTCAAACCGTTTCCCTGATGACGTTTGATGGTTGCCAAATCAGTGAAATAAACGACCGAAATATCAAATAATACTTGCCGTAAGTATAACCGCATTCACCATTGGGAGGTGCTATAATCACTCTCGTAGGAGAATTTTGCTTTCACCATCCAAAATAAATAAAGTTATCCAACATGTGCGTCCGATAGCTCCGCCCCTTCCGCTACTTGGACAAACCAGCAGTTGTTGAGTGCGTGAAGTGTCCATCATTACACACTTCATTTTAGCGGCTGAATGAGTTCATCATCCTGGTAATTAAAGTGATCTTATTATTTTTATAGTTTTCAGTGTGAACACACTACTTACACTATTTATACTACATAATGGCGTAGAATAGTGCATAAGTATGTGATTTGCGACGCAGCTGCTGATTTTGGCCGCAAAATAATTTTAAACCCGAAGTTAAAATTAGCTGACAAAAGCTCAAAATTATCCAGTTTTCCCCTCAATTAAAGCTGACAGCTGCTAACATTGTCTTAAGTGATGCTCAACATTTTGTTTTAAAGTACTCCAGGGTGTCTGGAACCTTTAAAATTGGCAATAATTAACTTTTTGTTTTCACCCATTGTGCGTTTCATCATTCTCACTATTAAATAATGGGAGATGGAAATGCATTTGCCAAACGTGTATATGTGTGTGAGTGTATATATAAACTGAAAGACTCACCACACACAAAAACCCTGAATCTCCTGTAAAAGGTCCTCCTGCTGCTGATGATGTGTAGTTTATAAGCTCCGGAGTGTTCGCTTGTGATGTCACTGATGGTCAGAGATCCAGTCATCTTGTCCAGCAGCAGTTTGTCTCTAAATCTCTCGTCGGCTTCAGTAAATGTGCTCTCTGTGGTTTCTCCATTCATTTGAGCTATAAGGTTGTCTTCATCTCCAAACATCCACAGGATCAGATCATCTTTTCGCAATTCAGCAAGAACATTCAGAGTGATGTTGTTTCCCTCCTTTCCTAATATCATACTCGCTTAGAAAAAAACAAAACAAAAAAAATTAGATCAATTAGACTAAGCCTAAAATTAAATGTCAGCATTAAATTAAATTATACAATGGGGGGCTGTTGAATGCTTGATTCTGATTGGTTGATGAGCATTCTAAGGTGTGCAGTTATTTTGAGATAAATGTTTTACAGTGCAGCAACTGAACTAGTTTAGCTTCACTATGTACTAGTATTTCTAATGAATTAAATGATCCATACATCAATCTCTGGATGAACACGGAGGAGTTTGAGCTAAATCACAGACTAACCTCTGACAAAAATTAGGAAGCGTTTGTAGGAGCGCCCTTTGCTGCTGTTGATCAGTAGTGTATAAAGTCCATTGTGTTCGGGTCTGGTGTTCTTGATGGTCAGAGATCCAGTCTGGTCGTCCACCATCAGTCTGCCTTTGAATCTCCCATCAGCTTTATCATATGTAAAGATACCCCTGTCCCCTTCCTTGATTTCAGCTATAAGAGCATTATCTTCTCCGTACAGCCACTTGATCTCATCTTTTTTACCAATTTCAACATGGACCTTTAGCGTCAAAGGATCTCCCTCCGTCACTGACACATTGTTGACTGTCGAAGAAGCGCAGAAAAAAAGAAAGAAATTAGATTATCATTGACTCAGCAAAGATAAACGTACAAGTGAATTAATTGTAATGAAGCCTATTAGAATACTCCTTTCCCTTAACTCCTTTCTAGAAAAGCTAAAATAAAATGAATAGTTGTCATTCTAAAATACTTAAAAGGTGCCGTATGCAAGTTTAACACCCAGTGGTTGAATTGGGTATTGCATGCTAGGTTTAAAACAAACACAAGCGCAGGTTGCCAGATTAATGAAATCAACAGGAGTGCGCCTAAAGGCTGATTTAAGGATGATTTAAATTGTGTTCTAATTAAAAGCAACGGCACGCGATATAAGGAATATTTTCCATATTAAAAAGAGTTTTCGAAATTGAAATTTAGAACTAAGTGCAAACCAACACATATCAGTGATTCAGCATCTACTGTACATTTAATAATGTTAAAGAGGCTTAATATGTATTATTCAGATCTTACCATAAATATTTTTTAGTAATCTTACCATTTTGTTGGGAGTGCAGTAAGTGCATATTCTGTGCTTCTGAATGGCTGTATTTAAATTTCTGTCATATATTTTTATACACACACACGTTTGTTTTTGTGAAAAGTGGGGACAATACATAGGTTTCCATTCATTTTATACTGTCCAAACTGTAAATTATATTGCCCTCACCCCACCCTAACCATCACAGGAGTCAGTGTACAGCTTTACTTTCAGATTAAACTCATCCTGTAGGATTTATAAGCATTTTGAGAAATGAGGATGTCACCAATGTCCTCAAATTTATCCTCCTTTTGTAATACCTGTGTCATACCCATGTCATTATACAGATTTGTGTCCTGATTTGTCACAAAAACACGTATGTACACACACGCACACTATTAAATGTCCTATTAGGTAAAGGTTTTATTATAAACTTTTGACACTGTTGAGGTTTGAGGTCATCTCCAGGTATTGCACAATAATATATGATAATAATAATAATAACAATATATGATAATAATATATGATATATTGATTATTGTGAAAGGCATAGTTAGGTTTTGAATCTGTTTTGGGTTTTGTCAAAGTAAAAAATGCCATGCAAAGCCAGATGAGAACATTTATATGCCACAGTGGTGTTTTGTTCTTACCATGAATCAACTGAGTCAGAGTCAGTGATCAGTTCATGAAGAACAGGCATTTGCTTTGTTACTGTGTTTAATCTTGATGCTGGCAGTTTCCGGGAGAAACCCATGCAAGGACAGGGAAAACGTAAATTCCATACAGAAATATCGACTGGCCTGGTTGAACCAGTGACATTCTTGCTTTGAGGCAACATTGCTAACCACTGGGTCTGCCACCCTATCTAGGAAAATGGAGGAGTAGGAGGAGAGGAAAGGGGGATTCTTCAAAACGAAGATGACTGAGATATAAAACTCTATTGGTCTATGGTTAATTATAGTGACTTATGCCGAGTTCAGACTGCATGATTTTCCAACTAGTCGTGTCACAGATGTTTTCACACTGCTTGACTATCTGGGCTAGCGTTTCGTCGCTGCTTTGTTTACACTGCAAGATGGTTCGGCGACATAGACATTCACATTGCATGACTTTACTATAGGGTGAATTGCCGACAACTTCGTCCAAACTACGTCTCACAGCCAAAAACACGTAGTATAGCCTATCTTTTGTTATTAACTACATAATAAGAAAGAAGCCTTTAATGGGGTAGAACATGTACATGTTTGCTCACCTGGGTTTAGAGGGAATTAGCCATTTCTCCTCAACGTTGATAATAAACTAATTTCTTTCTGTATGAAACGTCAAACAGACACGGTTGGTCCTGAGTCCTGTCAAACCTCCACTAGTTTTCTCTCCATTTCGTGGGTCCAAATAAACCAAAAAAAGAGCGCTTTTAACTTCTCCCCCAGCCTCCCGCTGGCCTGCAGCAGTTATACACACACGCACACACAAGTGAAAGCTGCTGTAGGCGATCGCTGATGTTATTTTCAGTCAAAACTCAATTCACACGGCATGATTTGCATCGCTGACAGCTCCAGATATTTAGCACGCCAAATATCTCAGGCATCGGCGACTCATCGC